TTTTTTTTGGGGGGGGGGGCTGATATATGTGTGCCGGGGCCAGAGAAAGCATAGAGGTCAGAGAACAACTTTAGGGAATCAGTTCTCTCCTTCCACCATGGGCTCCAGGGACCAAACTTAGGTCTTCAGGCTTGTGGCAAGTGCTTTTACCCATTGAGCCATCTTGCTGGCCCAGGTTTTGTTGACTCTCATCTACTTCAAGTTGTACAATAAAAGATGCCTCTTCTTTTCTGTATCATTCCAATTTTAGTCTATGTGCTGCTGAAGCCAGCACTTAAAAATGCCTATTGTGAAGCACTGACTACATTTCCATCCAAAGGAATTCAGCAATTTACAGGCAATACATTTTGTACAGTAGTAGTGGGAGGGATAAATAGACTACAATACTCTATTTCACTATCAGTTTCAACTTTTCCATTTTATCAAATTTTATATCAACAACTATTAAATGATACATAAACTTTTAAGCTGTCTAGCAAATTACAGATTGTTAGTTCAACATACTTTCAGGTAGATTAAATACATACCTTTAATTTATCAGATAAATCTTTAATTTCATTAACTGCTCCATTATATTTATTGGCCAATTCTCTCAGTTCTTCCTGAGTCCGCTCATTCATTTCTTTCAGGTGGGTACATTCATCTTCAGTATTACTCAGACTGCACTGCAATTCAGATTCACAGGCAATATTAGAATAAATGGATACTTGTTATTTAAAATTCATTATAAAACCAGCTTGTAAAAACTGTAACTCTCTGGGAAATTCTACATCAATATGTGCCCTAGATTTTGCATAAAGCTGGGTTAAAAAAAAAACAAAGTGATATCAGTTTACTTCAGGTTCATATATACTAAAACACAAAACACAATTAAGATTTTTTTTTTTAATGTTGAAGGATGGGGCAATGAGGAGCTACCTATTATTTAAACTTAAAAAGGTCAACAGCTATGACCTTTAGCCTTGAAAATATTTTAAGGCCTACAATTTCTTTTTCATTTGTTTTTGAAACAAGACTATGTAGTTCAGGATGGCTTTGAATTCACTGTACTGTCCACACTGGCCTAAAATTTGTGATTCTCCTGCCTCAGACTTCCAAGAACTCCCAATACACTCATCTCTAAGCCAAGAATTCTTTGTTTAATTACCATATAACAATTCATCTAATATGAAAATAGGAAGACAGCTTATAACTCTACTTGGGTGTCAAATTAATCAATCAACAATGAATCACATAAATCACAAACTACAGGATAAGGCCATAATACAAACTATCCTGGTAAGGTATGTTTACAACTTAATTTAGGACAAGCACTATAAAATCCAATGATATAATTTCTGTGTTAATTTTGCAGTTGTTCAAAGGAGTGAACCATAGTATGCACTGGGTACATGTTTTGTTTTTAAGCAAAGTGAATTTTTCTTCTTCCTTTTCTCTGTCCTAGGAACTAAAACCTGGGCTTCATGCATGCTAAGCACATGTTCTAACACTGAGCTAACCCCCAGTCCCAAGAATTTTGATTGCTTCTAGAACTTAGAAGGACCTTGGAGATTTTGCCTTTGAACTTCCAAAGTACAAGAGATAGTTTTACTCTCTGGAGGATAAGTAAAGTAGGAAAGTCCTCAGCTTTACACTGACCATCCTCAACTAGAACAAAAGCAAAATTTTATGACAAAAAAATCAGTTCCCATCAGGTGTAGTGATATCTTTAACCCCAGCACTCAGAGATAGAAGCAGGTGGATATCTGTGAGTTCAAGCCCTGCCAGTCAGATTTACATAGTGAGACCCTGTGTCAAAACAAATAAGGGCCTGGAGAGATGGCTCACAGTTAAAAGCACTGGCTGCTCTTGCAGAGGATCCTGATTCGGTTCCCAGCACCCACACGGTGGCTAACAACCATTGGTAACTCCAGTTCCAGGGGATCCGATGCCATCTTCTGAACTCAGTGGGTACTACACAACATGTGTGTACTTAGGCACATGCAGGCAATACACTCATACAAATAAGATAAAAATGATAAATGAAATATTTTTAAAAGTTCATCAATAAATAAGTAAATCAATCAATAAATAAAACCCCTCACACTTATCACAGAGTGAAAACATAAAGATTCCCAGGTGACTCTGTTATTTCTCAGTCAATGACTTGGGACCAAAAGCTCCAGAACGCATATGATTATGTTAAGAATTCCTGCCAATGAAAGCAGCTGCTTCCTATCTGACAGACAGAAAATATTTTCTAGCTACACATCACCCAAGTTTAAAGTGCTCTGGAATATCTAAAATACACTTTAAAAATCATGCTACTACTTAGTATTTTTAAAAATGAAATACCTCAACTTCTGAAAGTTTTCTAACCACTTCAATTTTCTCCTGAAGAACCCGCTTCAGGGACTCTTTGGCTGTGGTCTCATAGTTGTGTTTATCTTCCTGTAATGTAATGAATTCTTTCCGTAAACTATCTTCTGTTTGATTCTAAAATAAAAGATAGTTATAATTATAGCTCAGTTACTTTTCTTTGAAAAGCTCTTACCCTTTAAAAGAAATAAGCACATTATGATGCTCTCTAAATTCTATATTAAGGGACCTCCAAACACAAATCATGTTGGCTCCATACTAATTGAATCTGCATTTCAAAATAGTATCAGTAAATTATGACTTCACAGATTATACTAATTCCAACAGGAAAAAAATGTCAAAGACAATTTATCTCAAATATGTAAGACAGATATATTAATATCTGTCCATATTCCATGGAAGCCATCATACTTACATTTGTGAGCAAAACTCATCGCCATCAAAAGTACCAAACATTTGAGAACAGTTAAGACAGAATGAGAGCACCATGGGGAAAAAAGCAGACTCCATGTCTGGAACAAGAAATGTACAACTGGGATACCCTGGCCAGTGTGATCGCAAGAAACCATCAAGGTTAAACAGTAAACCCAGCTGGGTGTGGTGGCATACGCCTGTAGTCCCAGCACTTGGGAGGCAGAGGCAGGGGGATCTGTGTGAGTTCAAGGCCAGCCTGGTCTACATAGTGAGCCCCAGGCTACGGGGAAACCCTGTTAAAAAAAAAACAAAAAACAAAACAAAAACAAACAAACAAACAAACAAACAAAAACAGTAAACCTGGAAAGGTTCACTCACACCAAACCCAGAACAATTTGATCATCAACAAAGAAAACAACTACAATAGATTAAACACACCAAATATGTTTAAATCTAAGTGAGAGAAAAAATACTTCATTGTCATTCTCTAGTAGATGAAAAGGAACTAATTTCATTACTTTTTTGTCTGGTAAATAAGGGGAGAAAACCACTTATTTGGCTTTTCCTGTAGAAATTGTACTTCATAGTAAGCAAATGGTTCATGAGGGAAAAATTCTCTTTGTAGAAGTAATCAAGTTAAAAAAATGAATGAATTGTAGGGGCACATCAAATTTTATCATCTTTAATGAAATCATGAAATAATGAATAAGAATCATTCATGATTGGTAAAATCTTAAGAAGACCACTAGAGCCTTTATGTTGTCTTTCGGTTAAAGAACAATATCATCAACAAAGTGCTGTTGGCAAAGAAAACAAAAAACAAAAACCAAGCAAACAGACACCATGGAACATAAACAAGACCAAATCCCTCCACCTTTATAGACTATGAGAAGGGGCCAGAAAAATGTTTCAGTAACAGTACAGACTGAGGTAAATTGCAATGACCCAGTTTCTTCAATAACAGCAAAATAACAGCAAAAGAACAAGGGAATTAGAATTGAATGTGGGTGTGCACTACACAGTTCCTATTTAACAGGTATGTTTGAAAATTTTCATGATTAAAGATTTTTTTAAATTGTGACATTATTTGCCTTAGATACACTCAAGATGACAAATAAATATAACACTGCACCTATGGCTGGGTGTGGTGGCGCACGCCTTTAATCCCAGCACCAGGGAGGCAGAGGCAGGCTGAACTCTGTGAGTTCAAGGCCAGCCTGGTCTACATAGTGAGTTCCAGGACAGCTGGGGCTACAGGGAGACCCTTTCTCAAAAAGACCAAAGCAAAACAAAACAAACCAACCAAAAAAAAAACACTGTATCCTCCTTCTGTACTTAAGATTAAATACCTACTTTGAAGCTTGCCTGTAATTGGTTTCCCACAACTTCTATCCGTGATACGAGTCTATCTTCATCTATTAAAGCCTGTGGAAGAAAAAGTAAAGATAAATAAAATTCCAGAGTAACTTGCATGTATATCAAACAGACTATATTGCCAACAAAGTAAAGAAAATTAGACAGTCAACCAAAATCTACTGTAAAATGCTGTCTTCACCATTTGTTCTTTAGTTGGGAAATAACTTTACATTTGTTTGCTACAAATTTTTAGTTTTAGTTCATTCAACACACACACACACACACACACACACATACACACATACACGCACGCACAAACTATTAGATACTTCTTGAATATAAAGACAAACGGAATACCTTCCAACTGGTATCTGAAGCCTCTTGGGTGATGGCTAGTAGCCGCTGAAGTGTGGCTAGCTTCTGTTCCAACATCTGCCCCCGATGTAAGGCCTCCTAACATTACAAATCATAAAAAGAGATTCTAATGAACTCAGCACGGTTCCTTTGAAGAGTAATTAACTGTCAGTGCAATGTGAACATATTCTCATATTACATTTCCCTTGATGTATCTCAAAGTATTATGAATTTGATAATTCCTTAAAATTCATGCAGGTCACATTATTTTAGCCTTATCTCCTGGGCTATAAGTATTGCTGTTATAGGTATTCTAGCTCTAATATTTTCCAAATGGAAAACAAGGTACTTGTTTCTGTTTTCTCTTTATTCAAAATGTAGATTAGAAAGTGACAGATGTTTCATCTTGCATTTCATATACATATACAAACACACCCATATGTATATAAAATATGTATATATTTTACAACAAATGTATTCCAAACTAAGGAAAACTAATCTAGTCAGCATCAGAGATACTTTATAATCACTCTACAATATGATGTCTAGCTTTCAGTCTTTCCTTTTTAAAACATTTAAATATATGCCTGTGTATTTAAAAAGAGACTACTCCCACAGCCTAGAGCATCTTCAGATATTCTGAGTCTCTCTCTGACTGCATGTCACTTGGCAGAGATGAATATTCAAAAAATAAGAGCCTGCTAGTTATTATTAATATGTGATTAAGAAGTCAAAGGAATATGTTACAGCAAAAACACTGAAGAGCAAAACCTAATCCCTAGTGACTCGTTAACATTTGATATCTGTTAATAGCATCCCCTTCACACAGTGTGAAGGGGAAATGCTCAAGGCACTTAGCTATGGCTTTGGCATCTTCTTTAATTCCTGTCAATACCCAAAGCATACTTACTACCTTTTGGCCACCTCAAAGAAGCGTTGTTTCAAATATAGCACTTAAGGTTTGAAGCATTAATTTACTGTTCTCCATATCCTTGATAAACAATGACTTGGGGAAGTCTGGCCTAATGTAGACTTAGAAGTACTATGCTTTAATATAATTCTTAAAAATACAGACTGAGGAATCTAATAACAACCCTATTACCTGAGACCCCCACATTAAAAAAGCTACTTACCACATTTTATTTTAAGGTCCTAAAACATTCCTATTACACAGGAAATAACTGATAAACAAAAGGACCAGCCAATCCCACCTTTAGAATCTACCTCCCCTAGATGGTATCATTTCGCCTTTTTAAACACTCCAGTCCATTAGTGTCTTAATTCTGAACCAAATTCCAACTAATGTAGTATTTCTGGGAATGGACTTTTAGTCCTAAGACATGAAATGTATCTATTCCAACATTTTTCAAAGGGTTCACAATTTATATTAGAATTTTAACAATTCAGTAAAGATATATGCCAGAAGAAAAAGAATAGGTGGTATAATTTCTTTCAAAAAGTTAAAAAAAGAAAAGTAATTACGCAAGTTGGAAAGAATGAGAATTAATGCATGGGAGTCACAGTTCATCATGATAGTCACATAGGTCTATCGTTTAACCTACATCAACAGCACATGAAAAATAAAGTACAAACAATTAATCTCAAAGTTTTTTTTCCACCTTGTAAAGAGATCTACAACTAATGTGTTTTCCCATCAAAGGGCAAATGACTCCTGACATCTACGTCTCAAGTTTTATGTTGTACAAACTGTTCTAAGTGCTTTATATATGTTAATTCATAAATCCTTCATGAAGTGAAGTGGGTGCTACTGTTTTAGCAATTCCCTAGGTGAGAAAAATGAGGTTCAAAGATTTTTAATAACTTTTTTAGAGACCAGAAGCTAAAGCCAGGGACCAAATCTAGTGAATTCTAACTACATCCCATGCTCTAGTAGTCTGTGGATGTGCAATTGCACAAAATTGTCTTCTGTACGGCAGGACATCATGATTGGTAAAAAATAAGATATAATTAATGTGTACATTATTTTCTTTTCTTTTTTATTTATTTATTTATTTTTTGGTCTTTTTGAGACAGGGTCTCCCTGTAGCCCCAGCTGTCCTGGAACTCACTATGTAGACCAGACTGGCCTTGAACTCACAGAGAGCTGCCTGCCTCTGCCTGGCCCAAGTTTGTTTGTTTGTTTGTTTGTTTGTTTTAAACTATACTCTCATTATAGTCAGCCCCCCAAAACCATAATCCTGGCCACAAAAATCAAGAAAAAAACAGCACTTTCTTCTTTTTAGAAAGACATATGGCTCTTTAAACATGAAATTAAAAAAAAAAAAACAATAAACATGGAATTAAGTGCTTCGGGAAGCCATTCTAAGTATTGCTCTGTGCTTTGGATCCATGAGCACAGTTCAAAAGAGACTCTGAGGTCTGACTGTCAAGCCACTCTAAACTCAGACTAGGAGCAAATCTTAGTTTTATCACATACAAGGTGTGTGATATTTTGTAAATTTCTGAATATCGCTGTCCCTTGGTTACTCCATGTGGAAAAACAGGAATGAAATATCTACATTATAAGATTGTTCTACAGATTCCATAAATTAATAACATAGGTAAAGTGCTAGAATAGAGTATGGCATAAAATAAGTGTACATAATTATATACTACTATCAAACAACCAAAATAGCTCCAGGTTTCATTTTATTTAAAAGTCATCTATGGATAAACCTTTTTAATCCTTAGTTATTTTTTAAAGGGTATTTCTTGTGTACTTGTATCCAGTTAATATTTTACCCCATATTTGAAAATTGGAAAAATTAAATCTAAGTTATTTAATTCTACTTTTAAAGACTAAGAATTCTCAAGATTTACTTTTACCTGTAGATTCTGAGAAAGTTGGAATAGTTCCTGAGAGTACATACTTGGAGTGTTAGCAGCAACCTAGAAATCAAATGACACAGATCAATAATCATAAAACACTATACTTAAAAAGGGACCAGAAAGATGGCTCAGTGAGTAAGGTGCCTGCTGCCAAGCCTGACGACCTCAGTTCAATCCCTAGGATCCACGTGGTGGAAGGAAAGAGCCAAATGCTGTAAGTTATCCTCTGGCCTCCATATGCACATGTGAGGACACATACAAAATAAATAAAAATGCAATTAAAAAATCATTTTAAAGACACTTTAAGATAAGTCAATTTCATGAAATATCTATTTTCCTAAATATACAGATAAATATTTTAATCTAAAAAAAGAAAGAGACACTAACATTCTGTTCATTGGCCAGAGACAATGAGAATAATTTTGATTTATTTTATTATGATAGGTAAAATTTTACAAAAAAGATAGAAAATAGTGATATTTTAAAACTACAAATTAGCCTTGCGACAGACCAGCCCAGACCGGAGCACTCAGTCCGACGGGAACAGGAAATCGGAGAGTGGGCAAGGATTCGGCGAGTGACAAACAGACACAACACAAGAGATGGTTGATGATCTGAATGTAATTTTCTAAATTGAAGCATCAGATTTTATACAAGTTACAGAACAAGATTGTGCAAGCATCAGGTTGATTTCATGGTTAATCATTTTCTTAGAAATACAATTCAAAATCAAAACAATACAGTACAGTATTATAGAGTGTTCTTATCTAATAAATCAGGTGTTTAGCCTATTTGTCCTTTTCCCTTAGTGGTTTGGCAACATCAGCTACTTATAAATTTTATTGATGGTAATTTTATGGTTCCATTTTCTCAATTTTGAGGTTTTTCTGAGGTTTCGGTGGCTGAGGCCAATGACTAGGTCAGTGAAGTTGTAAAATAGCATCTTTTTTATAATAGCTCCATATATAACTTCAAAGGCTTGTATCTCTAATCCATATTTTTTTATTCTTTCTTTCCATGTTTCTTATACTGCCTGTAATTGTTCAAGTATACTTTGCTATGCTGACTTGTAGTAAAGACACCAAGTTGGTCTGGATCTAGCTAACCTATCCATAAACTATAATGAACCCCATCTATTATTTCCTTCATAAACTCCTGTATGAGGAAGCGGTTCATCAATGGGCTTGGGAATTCTAAATATGCTCTCCTTTCCCTTAAGGGGATGCCATAGCCTACCTCTCCCTAACTCGTAGGCAATTCCAAAGCCTGGCTTAACAGTAGGCAGCAATCTTCTTTTAGTATCCCTTTAATCTCCTTGAGTTAACTCTAGGAACTGAGGTAGGGGGATTATTTACTAATAATTCTTCTTGCTGTAACTTATCTAGAATTTTCAAACGTTGCTTATTCTTAACTACTTTGCTTATTGTTTGAAATAAGAAAAGAGCATTTGGAGGAAGTCTAACATCGGGCAACTGAGTTCCCAGGAAATCATCCGTATCTAGTCTCTCTTCAGGTGGGCCTAATGACCTTAGCAGGTACAAAGCAGTTCCTCTATGAGGAAAGAACAGAAATAAAGACAGCAATGAAGACAAGAACTAAAGCAGAACAGCCAAGGACACAGCACGCTTTTTTAACACAGCCATTCTCCAGGAGGCATTCTTCCTTTGAAGTTTTCTCAGCCTCGACCCACGGAGAGCTCCTCTCTCGGGCTCCTCTGGAGGTGGTGTGACAAGCCTAACTGCTTAGAACCAAGAAGATTAGAATTCACTTCTATTAGGGCTTTTCAAGGCTATCAGCTACAGAAGCATGTCATTAGAAAAAGAAAATGAACCTAAAACTTTTATAGCCACTTTTGAAAGAGATCTATCTTTGTCTGGAAATTGTTATTGAGTATGATAAAGCTGTAATGAAATGCTTCTTTTAAAAAATAAAATAAAACAAAACAACAACAAAAACCCAAACCAAAAAAAAAGAAAAGAAAATGAATAAAGGGCACTTAACAAGTTGCTGTAATATCCGCCTGTATCTTGAACACTAAAAAGCTCTATATGTATATATCCTTTGTTTGTTTTCATTTTTTGAGACAGGGTCTTGCTATATAGCCCTACCTAGTCTGGTACTATATAGCTCAGGCTGGCTTTGAACTCACAGTAATCCTCCTACCTCAGTCTTCCCAGTGCTAGAAATACAGGTGTGTGCCACTACACCCTGCCAATTTATTCATGATGTTACAGAATCATTCTTTATTAAGCTCAGAAAACTTATCTTTACCAATATTTTCACTAAAAAACAGAATTGGCATTATTTTTGAAGTTCCAAATTAGTAAAATCATTTACTTCTAAAATAATTTTAGATATTACCAAAGTTGTTGAAAAACCACTCATAATTCTAAAATAAGAATCACCAAAACAATTTCAATTTGAAGTAGGCCTTTCATTCTTCACCTAAATGAAAGGGAAAAAAAGTGCAAAGTAGTTTTTCTAATATTTTAGTTATTGCACTGAAAAAACAATATCCGGTCAGGCATGGTGATATACACCTGTAATCCCAACACTTGGGAGGCAGAAGTAAGAGCAGCAAAAGGTCAACAGCATCCTTTACTACACTGTGAGTTCTTGGCTACCTTGGGCCATGTGAGACCCTGCCTCAAAAAAAAAAACAAAAAAAAAAAACCAGAATGAAGTCCCCAGATCCATATTAATGTTAAATAGTGACAAGACATATTGTTTTGCTTTGGAGTCATTTTGTGTTTGTCTGTTATTTAGCACTGATGCCTATGCTTTTATTGCACCATTACTTCCATAAAGAAAAAAATAAGAAAAATGTTCTAACAATCAATTACAGTAGTTTTTAATCAGCTCGTGTTACAACTTATATTCAAAGACCAAAAAGAACAATTTCTGCAAGTTCATATTTCTGTGCTACTTTGCTCTATAGTTAAATAAATACTGAGTGAATTTTAGGTAGGAAGCTTTATAAACTGTCTAGGAGGAGTGCACCTCAAAATAAAGAGTAATTTTAACATGCCTTACCTTTGGCTAGGCACAAAAACAGGTATATCTAGTCTACTCATTCAATAGTTTACTTCAGCTACGAAACCTTTTCCCAAAGAAACTTCCATCACAAATCCTCCAGATACTGAGGATCAGAAGACTGTATTAACTATACAGCTCTATCTACTCTGTATATTTTGTTACAAAAAAAGAAGCAAGTTTCTAGGTAAAGCATATTAAATATAAACACTTCAAAGTAACAATATTTAAAAGTTTGGAAAAAATAATCATTTGCAACTTACTTTGTCAACAGGACTTGGTAATGGAGCATGGATGACACTGAAAAGTAAAATTTAGAATTTTTATCTAATTTCCTGACAAGAAAGGAAATAGGGAACTAGAGAACCAGAATGTCTGAAGTCACAACATTGATGCACTTGCCCATATATAATAAAGGAATGAGAATTACTCTCAATCCTTCATAAATGTCCAACATTCTCAAACACATTAATGTTTTTCTTAAATTCAAATCCAAAATGTATTAAGTACCTTTTGAGACCCACTAGTTACTGGGGCCTGTGGAAAAATCCTTGGTTTTAATATTTCTGTACATAAAATCACCCTTTCAATCAAGTATTTTTAATTCTGTGATGTACAAATGAAGTTCTTTTAAGAGTAAACGCATCTATATTGGAAGTTGTTTTAAAAGAAAGCTCAATTGGAAAAAAAGATTATAATTTGGAAAGGTGTTCAGTGATGAACAACTTCAGCTGGTCAAATAGCAGCAACTGTTCTTCACCTCAGAAACTAACTGAAAGCTGAGATGTGTAGATAAAACTGTACTCAGTGTATAAAACATAGCATTAAATAGAGAGCATTAACTGACACTGATTTCCTTTTGGGAAAGGAAATAAAAGAATTCGCAAAAGAAGAGGCACAAGGCTCAGAAACCATACTATCTAGATCAAATTTGGGTTCTATTTCCAGCTAAAAGGCAAAATAATAAGATAGGCCTCAGCTTCCTCGCCATAAAGTGGAGATAATTATAAAACCAATCATACAGGGTTGTTGATAATAATAATGAGCTTAAAACAATGCCTTGGCATAGTAACCAGCCGATCACTACTTCTCCTATGAGAATTGTACAGCTAGGGAAGCCAGAGTCCCTACTTTGCAAAGCCCTCTAGATGCTCTATATGTCTTTAGGGTAGGTAGAGAGCATCCTCTATAAGCAATGTTGCCACGTATGAGCCATACACTTCATATCTTAGAAGCCATCCTAGCAAAGACCAATTTGAAGGTTGTTTGGGTAAAGTTCCCAGGTTCAATTGGTAAACCATGTGAAAGCTGCTGGGAAAGGAAACTGATCTTGTAAGGCATATAAAACAGAGTGCTAAGTACCTTCCTTCTGCACACCATGATATTCTGTAGACTTCACTGATCCTGTATAAATCTTTATTATACTTGTTTGATTACATGTCTGTGTCTCAAGAATTATGAAAAATTCACCTTTGCATTCCCAGAGCGTATCACAAGTCCTGACAAACTTAAAACCTAGTGAAGGTTTTTTTAAGTTATATTTAACTACAAATAGTCTTCTTTACTCCATAAAACTAAAAGATATTTTAGATATGTTAATTTTCTAATATTTTGTTTATTATTTTTATTATATATATGAGTATATTGTCTGCATGTATGTGTCATGCAATGCCCACAAAGGTAAGAAGAGAGTGTAAGATGTAAAATCCCCTAGAACTCAAGTTACAAACAGTTGTTAGCAGTCATGTGGGTGCTATGAATTGAACCCAGGTCTCCTGCAAGAGCAGCTAGTGCTCTTAACCACTGAGCCATCTCTCCAGTCCCAAGTTAATTTTTGACTGTATAAGAAATATTTATTGATTATGGAAAATGTGTAAAGTAAAAGAAATAAAATTATCCAATCCCAGCCCCCACAGAGAACCATTTTTGTGTGTATCCTTTTTTCTGAAGATATGCATTGCATGTACAGAGAAATTAACTCACAAAGCCTAAATAGAAGTAAATAGAGTTTTTTAAAATCTAGTTTTCTTAGATTTCTTTTCTGTCTTCATGCTATTTAGTTAACAAATAAAAGGCTAAAAAAGCCACACAACATATTCTACAAATAATATCTACTTTTTTACAAAAACTACCTTGAATATAGGTGTATTTTGTTTGAGTTGTTGAAAAGCTCCATGTGTATATAAAAACTAGAAGACAATGTTAGAATATGAAAACTGTTATTTGGTGTCAGGGTTGTAAAGTTATAGAGAACTTCTGTTTCTTATCATTAGAAAATTATATAATAAAAATTTTAAAACAGAGCTACCTGTTGAAGATCTTAAAAACACTAAATGCTATGTACACAGTTGACTTGGCATTACTGATATACTCTAAACCATTTAAACTGCTAATAAAAAATTAGATTATAGAACAGAAATGGCTAATGCTTATCATAAATTTATTATCTACCAGGTATTATGCTGAGTTCTTTAAGTACACAAAAATTCCTGCTCAGAGGTAATCTGATCATCTCCAGGTTTCAAATGAGGAAAGTAAGGCCAGCTCAAGTTATAGGACAGGCGGGTCAGGCTTTGAACTGAGTTACCTACCCCTAAAGATTATTCAGGTCTTCTTCCAACTTTAGAGAACTATCTGTTCAAAATGTGTCTTCTTCAGAAAGTCAGATTATATAATAAACTGACAGCAATTTTTTTAAAAATGCAATACTTTTTTTTTTTTTTTGGTTTTTTTGAGGAAGGGTCTCCCGGAGTCCCAGTTGGCCTGGAACTCTCTAGACCAGGTTGGCCTCGAACTCACAGAGATCCACCTGCCTCTGCCTCCCCAAGGCTTGCGCCACCACACCAGCAACAATGCAATACTTAATCACATTAAACACACACACACACACACACACACACACACACACAGGGCTGGGGAAATACTTCAGTAGGAAAAGTGCCTATTGTACAAGCTTGAGGACCTGAGGTCAGTCCCTAGAACCCATATTAGAAGTTAGGTGCTGTGGCATGCTTATAACCTCAGCAACTTGAAAAGTGACAGGTGGATCCCTGGGACTCAATGGCCAGCTGGTCAGTCTAGGCAAATCAGTGAGCCCTACCTTCAAAAAACAAGGTGCATGGCTCCAGAGGAGTAACACCCAAGGTTGTCCTCTGTTTCCACATGCACACACACACACACACACACACACACACACACACACACACACAGAAAAAGCAGAAGAAGAAAAAAAAAAAGAAAATAAGAGCAAGAGAAAAAAATATTGAGAAGGAACCAGGAGCAAAATCTCATAGTAATTGGAAAGTTCACTGAAAATAATGTCCAAAAATTTTACATAGTCTGCTGAGGATATGGCTCAGTGGGTAAAGCACTTGCCAGACAAGCATGAGGGCCTTAAGTCAGTTTCTGCCTGTCTCTCTCTCTCTGTCTCTGTCTCTGTTTCTCTCTCTCTCAGACATACACACACATACACACACAGACATACACACACACACACACACACACAAACACACTATTCTCATATATTATACTAGATGAAACCAGAGAACACAGAAGACTTCCTATACAACTGGAAGTCTATATATAAACTTTTATCTTTATCAAAAAGTTTCATTATCAACTACAAATGTTAATCTTTTTAAAAGCTATGTCATTTAATTAATAGTTACTCTGCACCTATAAGCTTAATTCTTGACTTATAAAAGCTAAGTGACATTAAAGGTTGAATTTACTTCCAATAATCATATTAAATAAAAATCAAATCTTAAACTTTACTACAATTTTAATTAAACTGTAATTTAAAATAGGAAATGACACTTTTTATAATTTCTGCTTTGTTTCAATGATCCATTAAACTAAAATGGAAAAAAACATGATAGATCCTACAGGAAGCATAATCTAGCTCATTCTGACAATAGACAGGAGAGACTGCTGGCAATGGGAGGGCCTTCCTCTGCTTCATCTTTCCTTCTCCCTTTCCTACTCACTATTCAGCTTTTCCTTAAACTCTAGAAATTTTGTCATACTCAAAACTCTGTAGACTACTAGCAAAAAATAGACTATAATAACAGAAAGCTTTTGTAGGGAAGAAACAAGCATCTAGCATATTCAAGACTTTGCATAAAAAAAACTTCAGCATATTTACGGCTTTGCTCAAATAAAAAGTGTTGGTATTTAACGACTGTCGAGCCCCACCCCATACTCCATCATGATATCTGTAAAAGGCATGAGACGTACTTATACTCACATTTTAAATACAGACTTCATGACAGGACTTGACATCTCTTCATTTGAAACATAAATGCAACTTTGTTGGTTTTTTCTTCTTCTCTTTTTTTTTTTTTTAATTTAT